TATATATAGGTTATCATCGTACTGTTTGCTCTAACCAAAGTCAGTTGTTTCTTACCTGGAACTATCTCTTGTTGATTGAGGTTCACCAATCCAGGCTGACGGGACAAACCAGGGGAGCAGCCGTCGGGCCAAGGCAAGCCTGGCTTCCCAAATCAGGACTGTGGCCCCTGGGGTTCTGTAGCTTCCCTGTCCTTAATGAGTGATAACCTGCTAAAAGGAAATGCAAGTCATGTTATCATGAGAGGCTATTTCCTGTTCTCTTCTTGTAACGATATTTGTTAAGGAGGGAAGAAAGAGTCCCAGAGTCAAAGATTACCAGGGATGGAAGAAATCTGGAAGATAACTTTGTCTAATTCTTTCATTTTATAGTTGGAGAAATTGAGGCCCAGAGACGAAAACAGCTTCGGCCAAGGACTCAGCCATTTGGGAGTCAAATCCAGATCAGAACACAACTCTGACTCTCTGTCCTTTGGAATTTTTTAAAAAGCAGCCACGTGGTCAAGCTGACTTCTCAAACAAGTGATCATTGACCCTGAATGGGAAGTCTTTTTTTTTTTTAACAGATTTTCAGAAAGGGACGTGGCACTTTTTCCAGATTGCTGATACACTGTTTTCTTTTTTTTTTCAGTTTTGCCTCTGGGAACTAAATTAGTAAAACAGTCCACTTCAGGCATGTGGTTGGGATGGTTCTCCCTGTTTTCCTTTAGAAAAACATTGTTATGGAACACCGTGACCCACGAGCACACTGGTGGGCTTTGTTTTTTAGTGATAGGCATGTGTGTACCCAGATGGGGTGGGGGGTTAGTCTCTCTCTTCATGTTTTAGAGAAATACAGTGACAGATATGAATTCTCCTCCCATGGGTATCATTTATTATGTGTTTTTTTTTTTTTCTGGCTACTGTGCATTTGAACAGCCGCTTTCCTGTACAGAAAACCAAACCATAGAAAAAGAGAAGGGAGCTTTCATTCATTAAGCAAATACTATCTGCCAAACATATCGTGCAGATTTTCTTTTTTTTTTTTTTTTTCTATTTTGCCCTCAAAAATTCCTTGCGAGCTACCTTTAACTCCATGTCTCACGAGAGTCAGGAAACCAAGCTGCAGAGAGCTAGAATGATCTACGAAGTCATGAAGAGAATACAGAGCAGAACCAGAATGAACCCGTGTCTGTTTAACTTCTAAATCCACTTTTTTTTTTCATCTAAACTGTAATATAATTATTAGGCCAAAACACTAGAAATTCTTATTTTTCCAGTGTTTTAGCTTGAATGCTGGAGAAAGTCCTTCGGAAACTGTGGATTGTTGTATAGACATGAAGAATTATTCTCATTCGCCTCCCTTGCAGACAGAGGGGTTCTAAAGGCCAGGGCTTCCTGCTGCGCTCCCAGCCTGAGCTAACATGCCCCAGAGAGGCTGGCGCTGCTGGCTCCAGCTCCATGCAGTGAGAGGGCACGTCAGGAAATCATGATTATCAACGCTTGGCGCTTTGTTCCTGTTCTCAGACAACAAGGGATACGGCTGGAGAGATGGGGTGGGGGTGGAGAAAGAGGAAGAAAAAACAGGAAGTGAAGGGGGGGAGGGAAGGAAATGATAGAGAAAACATAGCAACTTTGAAAAGTCCTTGGCCTGATGAGAAAGTGATTTCTGACCCAACGTTTGTGGAACAGGCCCTGCATTTTGGGAAGCCAGGTCAGGATGACAACAGGGGAGAGAAGTTTGCTTCCTCTGGACTTGGGGTGGGTGCTCATAAATTCCATTTCCCCCTACAGAGTACAGCCTGAGGGAAAGAACCCTCGGGGTGGGTGTCCTGAATACAGGGGCTGTTTCAATGGGCACTCAGGTTTATGCACAGAAAGTGGTGAATTTGCAAAGAAGGATCCTGGGAGGAGAAAATGTCTCTTACCTCTTAGCTGTGGATGACAGGCCAAGCGTGTTACAAGAGGATCTGGAAATAAAAGAGAAGTTGTTGAAGTGATCAGGTTACCAGGAAGAGCTAACCCATCCCCACTGCTTTCTTTCTTAAATGCTGTCAAAATTATAAGACATTTTTCAGTTTGCATGATTGGGATAATGTTCCCTGGACTGGGCACAGCAAGACTCCTACTGTCTTCTACCATAAAACAAAGAAGAACAGTCCAGTAGAAAGCTGAGTATCCTCCAGACCATGATGCTAAGGTACTTCCAGAATCTTTTCCTATCCATTTTGTCAATTTTACCTACTTAGAGATGCTTTTAAAAGTTCCCCAATTCCAAATGGACATCATTAAGATTGCCAGTCACCTGATAAATTGAACAATCTGCTCAAGTAGAATATCGTAACAATATTTTACAACCCCCTGATGGGCACCAAGACCGGGGCAGGGCCACCTGAATATAAACCCTCAGACAGCAGTCCCACCCACTCCAGTGGTTCCCCTAAGCTGGCTGTGCATCTGGGAAAGCTAACAAAAAGTATAGTCCCAACCCAGAGTAGGGGCCAGGAATCTTGTATTGTTAAAAAGCATCTGGTAGAGTTTTGAAGTTGCTTAGCCTGGTTCTGGTCCATGGATTAGCATTTGGCTAACATGGATCTTAATCCAAACCTCACACTCCTCCCCCCATTCTATAGATAAGATCATGAAAGCCTAAAAGGGGAGTGGCCCACTCAAGGTCCCACAGCTAATGGCCTTGCAGAGATCTGTCCTGATTCTGTAAATTTTTCCCCCACCATCCAAACGAACATATAACAACAAAAGTAAATCTATCTTTGAGAAGAGTCCAAGCTTTTTGAAGTGACTGTTGGTGGTTTACTGCCTGAGACACCCATGGGCCAAATGTCTATTAGAGAGAGCAGAGATCAAGCCGGAAAAGAAACTTAAACTCATCTCAGATCTCCACAAACAGCATAACCTCACATAACACCAACGCTAATTTGCTTCTGTCTCAAGCAGTTGTCCAGTGCTGTTTCCACAGTCCTTCTCCTCCATGCCTGGAGGAGACTGATACCACTGGAAACAATCAGAAGTCCACACCTTTCTGTAACTCTTGACAGCCAACAGAGGACTGTCCAATACATTGTCTTCTGTGGCCATTCTGAGAGAGGTACAAAACAGAGGGGCCATTTTCCAATTTTAAAAATGGCAGAGCTGGAATCAATGACTTGAAATGACTCATCCGGGGTCTCACAGAAGAACCAGAATTAGAATTGGGGTCTCCTGACTTCCATCTAAGGATACTTTCACTACATTATGCCACTCATCCTAACCCCATTCAGTGAAGGGGCTGAAGAAGAGCTTAAAGCAGCTGCGGATCGTCTACTTTTAGATGGTCCCGGAAGTGGGAGGTTAGGGCAGGAAGCAAACCTAGGTGAAGGCAATATAGGTTGTGAGAGGACTAAAGGACCCAAACACCACATTCCCAATCTCCAGACTGTGCAGATAAAGAATCTAGAGCCCCAGTGGGAGAGTCTTGTTAAAGTCCCACAGTTGATGAGGAGCAGAGCCTAGACTCTGAATCAGAAAAACTCAGTGTGACCTCTTTCCCATAGCAGCAAGAGCACTGACCAAGACAGAGAAGTAAGAAAACGAAACCCGGTGCCGCCAGGCAATTCTGACTCATAGCGACCCTACAGGAGAGAGCAAAACTGCCCCATAGGGTTTCTGAGGCTGTAATCTTTATAGAAGCAGACTGCCACATCTTTCTCCTGCTGACCGGCTGGTGGGTTTGAACCGCTGACCTTTCGGTTAGCAGCTGAGCACTTAACCACTGTGCCACCTGGGCTCCAGGGGTAGATGCTAAAACTAGCTAACATTTCAAGAAGTTACTGTGTGCCAGGCTTTGTTACTGTGCATCCAGTAACTCACTAAAACCTCCCAGAAACCACAAAAGGTAGGCATTACTATTGCCCCCTTTATACAGATGGGGAAAGTGAGGAACAGAGTAGTTAAGTCACTTGTCCACAATATTCTGCTACTGAGTGGGAGAGACAACATTTGAATTGAGGCAGTCTGGCTCGAACGCCTGTTCTTAACTACTACGTAATAAACTAGTTGCCATTGAGTTGATTCTGACTTGTGGCGACCAAATGTGTCACAGTAGAACTGTGCTCTGTGGGGTTTTTAATGGCTGATATTTTTGAAATAGACTGGCAGGCCTTTCTTCCAAGGCACTTCTGGGTGGAATTGAACTATCAATCTTTCGGTTAGCAGCTGAGTGTGTTAACCGTTTGCATCACCCAGGGACTTCTCGCAATATACTGTCTCAAATCATCTACTTAAAAAAGAAAAAGAAAAAAAAAGAAAGAAAGATAGGACGAGATAGGGAGAGAGGTAAAAGAGTGGAAAGAAAAAGAGAATAAAACAAGTATACCAGGAACAGATGACACTTTTCTTCAAAATGTGGAGGAGAGGAAAATCTCCAGGCAGGAAACCGCGCGTGGTGTTGCACAGGCAGGACCAGAAACTGGGTCTCCAGCTCGCCGTGGATGGCAGCCCACCAGCGTCAGCCAGCACCAGTGAATGACAGCCCGGCCTTGCTGTTTACACCGCACCATCCGTGGGAGAAGGGAGGAGGCTGGGACAGGGAGGGGACAAAGGGAGGGCCTGAGATGACACAGCCATCAGGGTGGGTGGCAGGGATGATGTCCTGGGAACTCAGTTCCCATGTCTCACAGTGATAGATCAGCTGGGCAGGCAGACAAGCAACTCTCTGCCCACATCCCCAGCACTGAGAGCGCGCCTCCCTGGGGGTTGTCCCCAGGGACATAAGGCTTCTGTGGATGCTGCCTGATCTCAGCCCTACAGAGTCATGGTGAGGAGGGAGGACAGGGATCATCACTCACCACTTCACAGATGGAGAGAAGACAGCCAAAATAATAACAGTGGACTTATAATGATGACGACGATAATGGCAGTCACCACTTGCTGACAGGCTATTATGTGTCAGGAAATAAGCTAAATAAGCTAAATGCTTTACACAGATTATTTAAAAATTATACCAACTCTGTGAGCTCCATGTGATTATCCCCAATTTATAGTTGAGGACAGCTAAATAATCTCCTAAAGGTCAAAGAGCTAGTAAGTGATGAGAAAGGATCCCAGCCATTGTCTGTCTGACATTCTGGCCCTAGGTCTTGCCTCTAAATGGCACTGTGCTGTGAAATGGTGACATGACTTACCCATGGTTGTGCAACAGTGCTAACCGACAGCCAGCTTGGAGCTATGGAAGTAGACTACCACCCACAGTATACATCTATTAGAGTCCTTGAGTGGTACAAACAGTTAAGCTAACTGAAAGACTGGAGGTTCGAGTCCACCCAGAGATGCCTCCAAAGAAAGGCCTGGAGATCTACTTCTAAAAAAATCAGCCACTGAAAACTCTATGGAGCACAATTCTACTCTGACACACATGGGTCGCCATGAGTCAGGATCAACTCGAGGGACCTTACACATGTATTAGAAGTCCCTGCTAGCCACTCTGGTATACAGGGTCATGTATAATTAGGGTGGCCATATATTTATCATCCAAACTTTGCAAGTGAAGGGAATCCTATTAACAATACCTCTGGGACAACAGACATAAACTGGGACTGCCCCAAGTACACAAGGACATATGGTCACTCTACACAGGATCCTCATCCAGTCACATGGGGTCAGTTATTTTTATGACCAGACAATTCCCCACCTTGCACTCCACACAAACAGTCCTTTATAACAAGGCTGTCTCTCTTTGTTCACCAGACTGTCTCCTGAATTAGTTGAGCTAGTAGGCTTATGTATAAAACAGGCTGATGCAACTTGATTACACAGCAGTCAGGCTATGCTTTGAGACATAAGAGTATGACTGGTTTTAATAGTATATTTTAAAAGGATGGGTGGGTTTTTGTGCCCTGGCAGCCCAGCCCTGAAATGCCCAGCTGTTCTAATAACCAGCTAGCATCCCAAAAGTGGGGTGTCTGTGGCTCTCTGTCTAGGCAGCCCAAGGCTGCAACTCACTGGAGAAACTGCTGTCGGCTGAAAGGACACAAGATCCAGTTTCCCCAGGGGCCAGCATATCACTGGGACCAGGTCTGGCCTTTCTCCAACCCCAGCAGGTACAAAGTCTGCCTGGAGGTTGGAGAGCTGTAGCCTTTGGCTCTGCGGGAGAAAGAACTGGTGATCTGTTTCCATAAAGATTACAGCCAAGAAAACCCTATGGGATAGTTCTACTCTGTGATGAGGGGTCACTATGAGCAAAAATTGACTCGACAGTTATTTCACTTAGAAAGCATATCGATCCTACTGAAAATGGTACTCTTGTCCACATTTTACAAATAAATTAGAGATAGACTCAGAAAAGTCAAGTGACTAGCAGTATGCTCACAGCAAGTAGGTGGTAAAACATGTATTTGAACCCAAGTCAGACGGACTCCCCATCCTTGCTCTGACTACTGTGTTCTACTGCAGTGGAGACCAACCAGTTCCATTACTCACAGATGGGGTAACTAAGGCATGGAGTGATAACAGAACCAGGACAAGAGCCCATGTCTCTACTCTGGAACTCCTATTTGTTCCATTTCTCAAGGCTGTGGTTTAACTTCTGTCCTCAACCTTCGTCACACCTAAATAGCCACAAAGGTAAGCACTCCCATGTGGCCAGCAGGAGGACACCTGTCATACTTGTTGGGGCCCTCAGAAAACTCCTAGTTTCTCAAAGAGTTCACATCTCACTCCCTGAACAAAAGCACTGGGGTGGATCCCCTTCTCTTTGAGACATCACTTCACAGTGTCAGTTACTCTAGGTCCTTCTCTGGGTTAGGGGGTGGGGGGTGGCACCTTAGAAACCCAACAAGATCAGCCTCTTCCTCTCCTTGACAACCTCCAGCAACAGTATAATTAAATCCCAGACAACTGGGGCATTTTTACTCTCTCTCCTCCCTTCCCAGGGTAGCAATATTGTCTTTGGGACCTGGGATAAGGGGCATACTTAAACAGGTTTGAGATGTCAGCAGCCAACACCCTGCCATGTCATCCATTAGGAGGGTGGCAGAAGAGACAGGGACAAACACTCAGTTCATACTGTAGAGTCTGTGACTGACCATCCCTGATGACACCAGCCAGGAAGACACCCTGATGTAGCACAAATGTTTTTTAGGAAGGTAAAGAAACCTAGGTCTATCACCAGCTTGGCCTGGGCTTAGTGACCTTTAGCCAGTCATTCTCCTCTCTGATCTTCAGATGCAACATCTGCTAAATGCAGGTAATACGGAGCTATATTCTGTGCAAGCCTTATTATTTTGAGATCAAATGGTCTTCCTCTCCTAAACTACCATAACTACTGATGTTCATGTTTTATCTCTGCCAGGAGATGGGAAGGTCCTTAAGAGGAGGGACCATGACTTATTCATCTTTGTAGAATATTATAACTAGTTCATAGCCCTGTCCAGGGGAAATGCTAATTGTTGAATTTGTAAAATGGGTTTTCTACTGTCCTATGAGGGCAGTGAACAGGTCAGGTGGCTGGGGAGGGAGGAGAGAAGTAGTGGGAGACACAGCAGAAGAGGCTAGTGCAGACCGTGAAGGATCTTACATACACTGATGCTTTTGAATTTTGATCTGTAGCTGAAGAGTAAATTAGTATAATGAATGCTTTTGGAAGTATCAGTGGGAGAATGGGGTTGTGGAAGGAGCCCAGGCTCTAGAGCCCAACCTCTGTGAACTTCAGTCCCAGCTCAGTGGAACTCTAAGAGCTTTGGCTTCCTCATATGTAAAATGGAAATAATAGTTCCGTTGAAGGGTGTTAGGACTACCTACAATACTGCATGTAAAGTGGCCAACTGCAGTACTTGGCACCAATGTGACCTTCAGCAAATAAGACTGCCCCCTTGGTAAGTGTGGCAAAGCTGACCTGAACCGTTGGATATGAACGGAAGACGTTCAAGGCCCGTGGTGGCTAGAGGTAAGAAACTCAGAAATGGTGCCAGGGTCACACTGCACTGAGCACAATCTAAGAGCCAGTGTTAGACAAAATGACAAAAGAGTCATTTGCTGTCTACGTTTCCAGTGATTCTGGTGTGCTCCAGTACACTGTGCAAAGAGCTACACCATTCATGTACACAGAAGCCAGGCCAGGTCTCACATGGCAAATACCACCTGAGCCCTGCAAACCCCTTCTAGACTCCCCAGCGGACCCTGGTCTCCAGTATCTTCAACAAGAGGTGTCTTTTAGGTGGCTTACGTTGTATGTTCTATGGAGACCTCACTCATGCAGTAAGGCTGGAGTGAAAGGCAAGGCATCCTGGGTTGAGAAGCAAGAGATCTGGGATCCAGTCTCTGCTTTGACCCTTGTCGTTATTGTTGTTAGTTGTCATCAAGTCAATTCCAACTCATGGTGATCCCACGTGTGAAAAGTAGAACACATTTACATGGTTTTCAAGCAGATCGTCGGGCCTGTCTTCCAAGGCACCGCTGCGTGGGTTCGAACTGCTGACCTTTTAACTAGTAATCGGGCGCTTAAATGTTTGCACCACCCAGGGACTCCACTGAGGCAATTTGTATAATGAAGGAATTTTGGGTTGAGATATCTTTGGAACTTAGGACTCTCAATGCCCAGAACAGCCCTCCAGTGGCGTGTTTCTGTAAGAGCTTAACCTATGATATACACTGGCATTTGAGAAAGTTATTTTCTTATGAGACAGATCTCTGCTAAAAATACCATGAAAATGGAGCCCTCCTACAGAATGCCCCATCCAAATCAAACAGGAATACACTGAAGTCCAGAGGGTACCTGGTTTCCGGTTGTCACCCAAGCATTTACTGGCTGTGCAACCGTGGGCAAGTCTTTTCACCCCTCTGCACCTCAGTTTTCCTCACGTGAGCATCAGAGGTAATAATACCTAGCTCAGAACATTTTCCAGGAAACTCTGTTT